TCGCCGCGACTAGCACTGACGCTCTCTCTTTGCTTCTTTTGCCTCCAGAACAATCGTCGTCTTTAAATGTCAGGGTCTTGTCCGGTAGCAGCCGATAAAAAAGCACAGTCTCGCCTGCATTAAAAATGTCTGCCGGCTGGTATTCTTCGAGGTACTCGCGAAGCTTGCCCGCTTTCCGTGTCAGGCACGTTTCCTCATCGACTGACGCCTTCTCCCCACACACGCTTTTAAAAATCAAGTCGTGGCGATGTTTGAAACTCGTAAGCCACCCATCCGAAGCAGCGAAGTCGTTGATGCCCAACAATTCAGCAAGCGATGACGCTTTTGCCATGACGACTTCACCACTGAGAGGAAGTTTGTTGTTTCGTGCCTCTCTGATCCAAATCAGCAGTGCTTCCTCCAACTCGGGGTAGGCGCCGGTGCGCATCCGCTTCCGCGATGTCTTGAATTTTTCACTTTCAAACGCATCCAATATTGAGCGCTTATTCTTTATGAAAGTCGACAGCGTGTTAGGCTTAATGCCGTACTTTCTTGCAATGTCTTGTTTGGCGGTGCCTCCCTGGTCAACTTCCTTCAAGACTTCGACTTTCGTCGCTAGGTCTAGCGTTCGGTAAGGGCCACGAGTTGCCATTATCAAACGTGCCTCCCTGGCAACTTCCTTCAAGACTTCGACTTTCGTCGCTAGGTCTAGCGTTCGGTAAGGGCCACGAGTTGCCATTATCAAACGTACGTCACCACCACAACACTCAAAATCAGAAGCGCGGAAACACGTGTGGAATCAACCCAGCGCGCGGGTGACGCGGTGACACACTCGAGTCTCGACAAAAGTCAACTAAAGAGTCAGTTGATGCTGCCGATGCGATTCGCCAGCGTTAAAAAGATTGCCGCTTCAAGATCTGTGGCTCTGCGGACAGTAGTGACGGCGAAGACACCAGCGCGGTCCGGCAGATGTTTTGGCATATGAAAAGTTCCCCATTTTACTGTAAAATTACGGTCGCGACGAGACTGTCGATTGAAAAAACTTCTCATTAACCAATATTATGGGTTTTTAACTTCGAATTATCGAGCATTTTTTTCTATACGATTGCATGCAAAACTGATGGGACCACTTGCTCATTTCTAATTAATCGAAACTTCCAATTAAGCGACTTCGAATTACCGGGAGTCGACTGTATTGTATTTCACCTTTTTACACACAAAATTTATATAGTTTTTTGCACTCTACAGTTCCAAAGGATCATAGTCAGCTATATATGCATGCTTTATCTCAAATTTTTATAGGTCAGAATTGTTGCATAACAATGGCCATAATTTTGCAGTATCTGACCTGCAGAAAGAAAACCAAGCAATCTACATGAAAATAAATGACATATTTGAAAAGAGGAGAAAAAACTATTAGCATGCGAAGTTGTGTTAAATTCAGACTCTTATTAAAGAAAATCGTTTTTCGAGTAGCATCTCCCCTTAAGCAGCCTGCGAATGCATTAGTATTTAGCAGACACGGTCGGGGATTCGTTGCTACTACGTTCTGTACCACTATTTTTTTAAATTTTTTTTTTTCGTATTGTCATTTGTTGCATTTCCCGGCTCCTCAACTATTTTCTATGATACCTTCAAAAACATATTAGCCGGCTTATACTGCATATGAATGTACTTCAAGTGATTTATGCAGTTCGCGGAGCTTAGAGGCATGGAAGACTCTGAGGGGTGCTTGAATCCCACCAGACGTCATCTCTGAGTAGTGCGTGCCGACCTCATGCTTGCATGTGCTGAGAGTGCAAAAAGACCAAAACGCGTCAAATGGGATTTGTTCACTGGTCCCACAAAGGCCATGCATTCTTTGAGCGAACTCATCAATTTAGTTATACTGTGGAACCTCTGATTATACAACTTATAGGGAGCCATGCAAAATTGTCATATAGAGTCGCTGACCGTTTATTCAGACATCTTCATGGTACCGCCACTCGCCCCATTGATCCTCATGTGAACTCACGATCGAAAATTCGGACGCCCCACTGTGCGCCATTCGATTACTCGGACTCCGTTTGACTGACCGGATGCGTTGTCGTACACATTACACGGTGACAGCGACATTGACAATACGTTTGCTAGGTTGCCGGCAGTGATATGCTGCACTAGCTATGGATGGACGTCGGGCCAGTGTCAAAATGCACGCAGAAATCACCACTGCCGATTCGAAGGCTATGTGTGGCGACGCATTTTTTTTATTTTGGCCAGTCAAGCGGCCAAGCCAAGCCATCTACAGAGTCTGTTCGCTGTGGCGTTTGGCGTGTGTCAGCGTGTCAGTCAGCTGCTCCTGCGGCTAGGCCTGGTTCGTCTTGTTCTCTGTGTTCTCGCTCTCTTGCGTGTTCCGTGGCGTGCTGAAATGGCTATGACGCCACCAGTTGCTGCGCCGCCAGAAGTGAAGAAATGCAGCCAATGTGGGAGCTACAAGATGCTCACGATGGCAAAGAAAGCAGATATAATGCGCCAGGTAGAAGGCGGCTGACCTCAGTCTGAAGTGGCTTGGGAATTTTCTATTTCCAAGCAAACTGTCTCGGAAGCGTGCGTGTGTGCAGACTAGACAGTTTTTCGTGTGATAGGGCCTGTAAAAGCACTTTTTTTTTTCGAGTGAATCCGTTTTTTCGGACTCCCGATTATTTGGACTTTTCTGCGGTTCGCGTTGAGTCCGAATAAACGGTCGGCGACTGTAATCGAAAATCCATGAATAATGGCAGCGACATTCTTTTTTGCGCAAAAAACCAGTGCGGACCACTTGAACAAGCTCGCGAAGCGACATTACATTTCTCCAAGGAATGTAGATTTCTGAAAATGGCCGCTAAGCATTTAACTGTAGGAGGTGTGAATGAATCTTCATTCTCTACTAGCTGATCGGGCAGGAGTAGACACACCAGGAAATGTTGCATGGTTTCTCGAGGCACAAGCATCAAAATACAGTTCTGCACCCCTAAATACCTTCTCATTTTCCCCGTTTTTCTGACAAAATGACTATCTTAACATGTGGATTGCTGCAAAACTAGGGGACATACGAAAGAGCTACCACTGCACTTGGCTGCAGCTTAGTTCGTTCGATCCTTGCAGCTTGCTGAGAGCTAGCTAAGCCCTGCAAATGTGCCACGCAAGCGAGTGAAAATGGCCTTCACATCTCCACGAAATGAGACAGCACAGTCCATGATGCCACTGCCATAAGTCCGAACCGTATGGAGACTGAAAATAGCCACTTCCTGCCTACTTCCAACTCATTAATTACTGCAGTCTCTCATTACCATGCTGTTTATCACATTCACAGTGTTGCTACAAAGGTCTTCTAGTTTTGAGCAATTTGTGCAGCGGCAAAATTTGCATTCTGGAGAGCTTATGAGCAGTAAAATTTTTCATTTTGGAGCACTCTGAGACAGGCAATTTTGCATCATGGGAGTACTCCGAAGCAGCTAACTTTGGATCATGCAGTACACTGCAGAAGCAAGTTGCCTTTACACTGAAGGACATGAATAATTAATTCGCCACTCTTGTGGAGAGCTAGAAATTTGGACTCATTGCAGATCTCATAAAGCGAATCACCTTAGGAGCACAACCTATTTCAGTCGATTATGCAAAAATAATGACATCAGGCAGTAGAGCATTCTGGGAGAAGTTGTTCAGCAATTACTTTTGTAGTAAATAAATTGAATACTGGTTTATTACATCGGTGCAATACAGCTGTACTTTTCAAAATAGCATTCTAAATACACCTATGTATGTTACCATAAGATGTAGTAGACAAAGGCTGCGATGTAGAACAATACCTATACACTGGACTTGCACTGTCTCAAACGTATTCCACTAGGACTACTTCAAGGAGAAAGAGAGGCTCTTTTTTTAGACTATCGATTATATTGCTGGGCGTAACATGACATCACTTAGCTAGCTTCGTAAAGCCAAGCTCTCCCAACACTCCCTTCCCTCTTTGAGGCCTCTGTGTGCTGGAGCAAGCATTCTCACAGTGCTCTAGGACTATTGTTTTTATTGAATTCTGCCTATTTTCCGGTTTTTATGGTAGACGTTTTGAAACCATTTTGAAACGCTAAGCACCGTGGCTTGTGTACACACATCGTGACCTAGCTTACTGATCAAAGTTGGGGCTAAGTGCAACTATGCTCACGGCACCGATGTACCAACGAATCCGAACCACGTGAGCAAGATTACTCCAGTGGACATGAGAAAGTGAGAAAGCCGTGATGTGCTTCGTCGAAAGCAACAAATCACATCATTCGCGGACTCCTATGAACCACAAATTGTCATTCCAGGCATTGCAGCAGACCCCTCAACCAAGCTGGAGCGCAGCGGATAGCAATTTCGTGGGTTGGTGTCCCAAAACACAAGAGCAAGCACGTTGCATGCTGATTTTTCATAGTGGCAGCTAGGCATATTGCACATCGTCACTTAAATGATGGTTGGTAGCACAGAGATCAGCGGCCTTGATTCTTAAAATCGGCAGGCTGGTATTTGTGAGCCTTTGCTTATCCATTGCTGTGCAACCTGTATCGTTCTTGAGACTTTTTTTTCTTTCAAATTGAAATCACCGAAAATCATATGTTACATACAGAAAGGACATATAAAATGAGGTCAAAGCCAGCTCTGCCAGCCAGCTTAATTGCAGTCCCGATAGTACAGCAAGCCATGTTTGAAGTAGAAAGCTATTGAATTTGGGGTGTCCATGGTAGGAAATTATGCTATAAAGATGTCTTGACCACCTTGCTTACATCATTATTTATGTAATTATGAACCAATCGTCCCTTGTAAACAAAGATCGATCAATGGAACAGACAAGGAGATCGATCACTATAATGCTGCAAATCGCTAAGCAGTATGCGAATGACTTTTGTAAGCAGATCCATTGTAACGAGGGTACACTGTTTCCTGGCAGACCGCAAGCAGTGCGTTTGCTTGTGTTCCCTAGAATCATGGGGAGGGTAAGCATGCAGAGCAGTGCCCTCTACCTTGGTCCGTCTTGGTGGCCGGCTTCCAGTTGTCGGCGCTGATGATGGGCAGGCACACCTGGCCCTTCTCGTCAATGTTGGGGTGGTAGATCTTGGTGCGAAAAGTGATTTTGGGCGGCTTGAACGGGTACTCGGCCGGGAAGTTGATCTCTATCCGAAAGGCCCCCTTGTTGTACGGGCTGTTGTCCTGCATCACAGAATTGGTAATTGAGATGAATGCGCCTAAACCACACTTCTGATCACCATAGATGTCATGACTTAGTTGTAAGGGTTACAATACAGAAAGGCAGTTTCGTCGACCCATTTGCCACACAACAGCCTAAAAGCAGAAATATATACTGTATTGCTGCTCATATCCATTAGAAATGCACGCATTTGCAGGTTTCAGTGCACTATAATAGCTTTTCTCAAAAGCCCTGTTTTGCACAGATGAAATTATGTCCTCAAATGTCCCATCATCAGCATCCACCTAGACTTCCTCGCCTTTTACTGCATTTATGATGATGATGATTTGTGGGGTTTAACGTCCCAAAACCACGATATGATTATGAGAGACGCCGTAGTGGAGGGCTCCGGAAATTTTGACCACCTGGGGTTCTTTAACGTGCACCCAAATCTGAGCACACGGGCCTACAACATTTCTGCCTCCATCGGAAATGCAGCCACCGCAGCCAGGATTCGAATTACTGCATTTAGCTTGGTGCTAAGATGCCTCCAATAGACCCTCACTACTACGCTACTTTCTCACCAAATGCTAGACAATCTTTTCCAATTTAGCCCAACAATTCTTGTTGCCACTTTACTGCTAATTACTGTGAGAACCTTAGCTTTTGACTACTACTCCTTGGCTACTACTGTTCCTTGGCATTCTTTCAAATTTATTTGACAAAAGAAATGGTGGCATTTTGTTGACTAACTACGTTATGCTGATTCCAATCAAATAACTGAAGCTATGAGCCGCATGATAATAGGTTGGTATTTTCAAAACAAGGCCTAGCTGGAAATTATTAACTGAAAGACCCTGCAATATTTTAATTATTACTTGACCTGGTACCTTTACAGGGACCCTGCAACACTTTTTCAATGCAGCCGTGGAATGAATTTACTCAAAGAGCTTATTGCTTCATGATTTTACTGCCACATAAAATTTTTTTAAACCGTCTAGTACGAGCAGAGTTACAAAGATTCGTCGCACGCTGCAATTGAATTTTCTTTTCTCATCCTGATGAAAGTGCTGGATGCTAAGCAGGGAGGGATGGCATGAGGAAAGAAAATGCATCACACGTGCCTTGTGAATTGAGCACTTTTTCCCTCTTTTTTTACCAAATCAGCTAATGGCTAATATTACGGCTGTGACGAGTGATGAGCTCGTAGAGTCATTTGTAGAGAGAAGAAAGACATTTATAGCTGACTGAGAATTTATCGTGAATTCCAGGCCACGTGCTGCGCCATAATATTTGGCTCGCAAGTTCTTGACAGCCTTGACTATAGATCGGCAGAGCTTCCCAACTATACTAGAAAAGTGTTGCAGGGCCCCATTGGTTACATGAGCATCTATGCATTTTGCTAAATGGAGTTGTAGCCCACACAAAGAGGATCACACTCGAAACTATGAGCTCAGCAGTTTGAACCTGTAGCAACCAAATTAGCCTGACCGCTTTTCACTGTTTGCTCGAAACAACCAGAGTACTGTGAGCCCCTGAAACACAGAATTGCACTGCTTCGATACTTTCATCAGCTCGACAGAGGCAACAGCAATTGCTAGCAAAAGTACTATCCTTGAGTAGTACTAACACAAAATATTCAATGAGACACAAGTTGTCAGATCTATATGTGAGGACACACACCCACATCATACACAAAATATCAGGAGTTGATGCAGCCTAGGACATACTTAAAGAGACACTGCTAGAGTCTTCCTAGTAAATATAAAGAGTTTAGTCAAGCAGTTTGCGAATCTAGTGCCCCAAGAACATTCATAATTCGTGAATTGCCAGAGGAGTTACAAGGTACTTGTCAACTGATCTAAGCACTTTCTCCTTTGGTACCAGTGAGTGCACAGAGTGCTACACAGCGGGTGATGACAAGTGGCGAAAAGCCAAGTCTACTCATAAGCATGCATCGTGACCTTGAGCCCTTTCTTTTTTCATCACACTGCTTGATTTCAGCGTGATCGTGAAAGTGCTGGAGTAATTCTATACTGAGTATAATTCTAGCAATACACAAAGAGCGTTGTGCACGCATGACGTGGGATCCTGTGGCAACCATGGTTACTATGCATCTTACGATGCTCGAGTATGTTAATGACCGTGAACTTTGTGCTTATAACATTGTAATTTTAGAATATGGCCTCATTTGGTGAGAGAGGAGTCATTTCTAGCTGAATTTCAGAAATGAATGGCAAATTCCAGGTAGCCACGTGCTGTTCTATAATGTGTGACCCACTATGTTCTCAGGAGCCTGTATTACTCTTTGGCAGCATTCTCCGACCATGCTCGAGAAGTGTTGCTGGGCACCTTTAAAATCATTTTTGAAGTCACTGCCGCACGACAGCGCATGAAATTGAGTATCTTGAGACTTCGACACACTGAACGTAAACAACCAACCACCACCTAAATGATGATGTGTTGGTTCCCATGCTTCTTACGTCCGCTCTCCCGCAGTTGTGAAAATGGTGCTGACATGCGCATGATTTCGAGTGCATGACTGTTGTACGAGCTCGCATGCCCAGTTGTGTTTACAAACCCCACTGGGAGCCGTCTCATCACTGTCTGGAACTGCCACGACTGAACACTTCAAATGATTAGCCCTCGTGCAAACAAACTTCCTAGCCATGATGAGTTGGCCTTTAGCTACATACTGCACCAGAAAATCAAGATGCAAAATTTTTACGTCAGAACTCCTTGAAGCAGCATCTTCTGCACAATAGCCGCTGGCCATGTGACGTTTATCTCGCAAGTGAGCAATATGCTATGTGATTCCCCCTACCCCCCCAGCAATTTCAACAGTATTGAAGAACATTGTTCATTTTTTTATATTATTTACTGAAAACAACTTACTCAAGTCTAAGACATGTTTCAAAAAATCAACAATGTGTGAGTGGGTAAGTGGTAAAAGATGGTGACATACGACTAGTCAATAGTAGTGCCGTTTAAAGCATGCTAGGTCTCCAGCAGTCACCCAGCCCTTGTTCGATTTCTTTTAGTTGAATAGAAAGAGTTCATAAAATTAAAAAATATGTAGTAGCACGTCCATGTTCCAATATCACAGCAACCTCAAACGCACAATATGGTCATATCTGAGCATGGCTTAGTATTACAACTGGAGTAAGCAGCTGGGCCGTTAAATGAGCAAGCAGCTGTACGCAGATATCTTTCATTCGTATAAAACACAAGCAGATGCCCTATTTCTTCACGTCTGTAGATGCTGGCACTCATCATTCATCCTTCTTGTATCCTCAAGGCCATCACGTACTTGAAGAGATTGTAATATAGTAGTTACAAATTTTTGCGTTCCCCTTCCCCTTCTTTTTTTCTTGAGAACATGACCACAGTAGGAAGGTTTCCCTTCAGCACTGCTTCTTCACAATGCCTTAATGATTAAGAGGCCTTTAGGTATACACGTGGTGACAAAACTTTGTTAAGAAAAATAAAGCATGACATTTTAAAAATAAACTATGGCGAAATAAACTAGTGGTGATGTCTCAACATTTTACAACTTCTAAATAACATTCAAATACTTCCAGACCTCCTTCGGGTCACCTGGAAAGCTATGGGGTTGCCATTTTTCTGATTTTGCAAGAACAGGGCTTTTATTATGCTGTTCAAAATTATGCAGGTTGTCATTTGGCTCATCAGTGTCGCAGCACTGCTTGTGATTGAGGTTTTGGTGGGATGATAGTTTTGCATCGGTCCAAGGATGTCACAGGAACATGTCGCAGGACGGTGACAAGTGCACCAGTCAACCTTCGTTTGCACTATCACAAGCAGCAGTGTCCCACCAAAGAGATGGTTTGTGTTATCCTAATGTCTAATTGCCACTTCTTTTCTTCTATGCCCCTTTTTGTTAGCTCATGCAAGCAATTACAGCTCATGATTACTGAAATGGACACAGAAAGTAGAAGAGTAGGTATGAAAATTAACATGCACAAAAATGAAGTAGTGTGCAACAGACTTGGCAGAGAACAGCGCTTTGCTATAGGAGGAGAGACACTGGAAGTTGTAATGGAGTATGTCCACTTAGGACAGCTAGTAACCGGGGTGCCGAACCATGAGAGTGAAATAACTGGAAAGACAAGGATAGGATGGAGCACATTCGACAATCATTCTCAAATCATGAGTGGTAGTCTACCTCAATCCTTCAAGAGGAATATACATAACCGCTGCATCTTACTCGTACTTACCAATGGAGCCGAAAGCTGGAGGCTCATAAAGAGGGTTCGACTTAATTGAGGCCGTTACAGCGAGCAATGGAAATGAAAATAAGTAACCTTAAGAGACAAGAAGAGAGCAGAGTCGATCTGGGAACAAACAGGGGTTTAAGAATATCATAGTTGAAATCAAGAAGAAGAAATGGACATGAGCCAGGCACATAGCAAGTTAACAGGATAACTCCTGGTCATTAAAGGTAACTGAATGGATTCCCAGAAGAGAGACAAACGCAAGAGGGGAAGACAAAGTAAGGTGGGTCGATGAGAATAAAAAGTCAACAGGTGGCAGCAGAAAGCACAAAGACCGGGTTGATTGGTGAATCATGCGGAAGCGTTTACCTGCAGTGGGCATAGTCAAGCTGATGATGATGATGACTGTAGACACAAAATATCATTTTGAGCTATAGAGGTAAAATGTAAACAATGAAAGCTTAATGAACACCAGCCCCACCCTCACCGTTTGTAATGGAAGTGTTGCTGTTGAGACACCCACACAACATAAACAAAAAGTCGTCAAAAGGAGCTACACAATACTCACAGGTACAATCAACCCCTGCCATGTGAGCATGTTTTTTTCATCCACCTGGATGTCCCGAAAGCATTTTGTTCCTGAGGTCCTGATGTCTTGAAGTTCCTGCGGACAAAAAACACATGAAGGTAAGCACCAGTGAAATGTTTCATTGAGCATGAACCAGACTACTGTGGCATGTAACAAACTAAGGATGATGCAGCCAGCGGAAGCTTTAATGACAATGTATGTGACAACAGCAGTCCCTTTTAATCAAAACATGGACTTCTGCAACTTATGAGTCCTGCAGCCCACCCAATTAGCAAACAAAATAAATGCATGAACGCACATGCAAGTTGCTCACCTCTACAACAATATTGCATTGTGCCTATTCTGGGAAACTAGAATGGATTGAAAGTGATCAAAGAAGCCATAAAACTAGCCGCTTGCTCTCACACACACACTCAGCTATAGTTAAAAAGAAAGAAAAAGAAGAAAGATGAATGCACCTGGAATATATTATACACCAGCCATTTCCGAGCCACTTTCTTTTTTCAAATTTCAAAGGTTTACAGATATTCAGACTGCACAAAATTTTTAAGGAATGTTAATATTATTTACTTATTTACTGATACTGCATGCCCTCCTCAAGCCCATGCATGAGCAAAATACAAAATACCAATCAGACAATAAATAGTAATAAGCTGGATAGCTTGCATACCATGAAGAATACATAAAAAAATAACAAGTAAACAACTGGAAAGCCATATTAATATTCAGTACATATATATTTGTTATACAACCAGATTGCACTTAATCAAAAGTATTTGTAATATAAGTAACTTGAATCGCACTCAAATATAGGTATTCTTGATATACACCACATATGAAGAAAACCAATATCAGAGTTCTTCAATGCTTTTCTGGTCATGAAACTGCTCTGTAACGCTATAGGGAGAGCTTGCTATGCCTCCACAGTGGCCGCGCGGAAGCGGCAGGAGGGCAGTGGTGGCATTGAGGCGAGCTTCGCTGCGTAGGGAGACTTGGAGACCCGAGGTTCCTGGCGGCTTCGGTGTTCAGTTTTCCACGTTTCCCTAAATTTGTGTGCGCGACGGCTGTCAGAATCGTATGTTGTATGTAAGGGATGATGCCAAGGACTTTCTGTGTGCCGGGTTGTCGCTCTAGCTACAGAGGTGCGAGCGTAAAAAGTGTTTAATTTGACGAGGGATGGTGATGAAAAGGACGAATAGAAACGTGCAACACCGTGACAAGCAGCAGGTGCACTTACTTTTCATTCTGAAAACGTTAGTGTGCAAAATTTCGATGTCACAGAGGTTATTGGGACTGATGACTTTGTAGTGAATGGAGAAAAGCATGCTTTTGTAAAGAGAGAAGGCATGTTGCTTGATGGAGCTGTTTGTTTCGTGGCCTGCTAGTTTTTTTTTTTTTTTTTCGATTTATGCCAGTTTATTAGGTGCTTTGCATTTTTTTCTTCTTATAGGTCGTTAAAATAAATTTTTTTCTATTTACACTGACTCAAAGTGGGCAAAAGCTAACGTCTATTTCTTTTGACATCAGTTCACTCTGTTTTCTTTAATACCTTGCTGCCCGCATTTACTGGCCTCGCACAGAGCTTTGCTACGCTAGAAGAAGTGTCGGTCATAGCTATCTGATTTCTGAAATTATTTACCAGCATCTTTTTCTCTCTTTTTTTTTAACTGCAGCATTTTTGCTTGATTTGCTTAGATTACATAGTAGCTCAACAGTATGAGGTTCTTAAACATATGCACTGAAATAAGTTAATTGTAAAAAAAAAGTATAAACTTAATGGGAGTTAGCGCTTCTTCGGCTTGGCACATTTTTTAGTGTTTTGTCTATGTTCCCTTTTTCATGTTCTGAATAAATCGAAAGGACAACAGAGCTTTGCTTGTGAACACCTGCACTTGTCTTTTCTAGCTTAGAAAAACATGATTTCAACTCATTAAATCAAGTCTGCTCTATGAGCAGTTTTCATCAATCAATTCGTTGCATCACCATTGTGCAAGTGTAGTACATCTAAGGAGTCAAAGTAACGCACGTTGCGATTTGTGAAGGTGCCACCCTACCCGCGTGCCCTTGGTTCGCTGCACAATGTGAAGTGAAGACACATTTTCACTAGTGAAATATTGTCGTTGTAACATGCAGTTGTGAATGTTATACGTCGGAAATGAACAGAATGTGGTTGCAAGCTCGGAGTTAAAGGTAGGCTATAGAACCTAGAGATCATCGTGTGTTGACACTGCAAATGAATATTACGTTGCCAAAAGTTCATCCTTCCCGATTTCAAGTGTTGCCAGATTGATTTCAAAGTTTCAAGGTTTGGCATCACCAGATTGAGCTTAGCTCTTATGAACTGTAAACACAGGATTGTAGAGCTCTTATTTTTTGTGATGCAGTCATGTACCACGCCATAGGTAATCTGACTGTAAAGATTCAGCTGAGAGCTGATGCGCTTACGTATGCTCCAGTGTTGACCGCAGCGGCAGCAGTTTTTGTCCCTATATGAAACTACTAGCCAAGTTGCATGACCAGAAAAGCATTGAATGACTCCACTAATACTTACATTTTTTGTTTAATGAAGCCACTGAGGCGGCACTCGCTTGCATTGTGGGCAGGTTTCTGGCTAGCTCTATCAAGTTGCCAGTGATCATTCCAAACAAGTAAGCATTTGTTGATGCCAAAGCAAACAATTTAATTCATTTCTCGATGGCACCTCCCGACACCTTCCCAAGCACGTATGTAGATAATGTGCAATTTGTTAGCTGTTACCAACTTACTACTTTGGAACTACTGTATGTAGCCTCGCTTTCGAATTCCTATCACATTTCTTTGCATTGGTATTGTCTTTTGTATTCCCCACAGCTCTTCTGCATTTGCTGCTTTACTTGCAGCAACAGAGGTTTTTTTTTATTTTCAGCAGTTTCTGATCTATTAGTTGTTGTTTTTTTTGTGCAGTTTGTAAGACCAATCTTGACCTTCAATACCTTTGTGCATCACAATAGGCAGTGAAGCTTGTAGTCCACACACTAGCTCCCCCCAAACAAGAAGAGTTTTGACTATCTCACTGAGCTTAAATTTTTCTTAGTACTGACTGTGCTCTATTTAAACACCACCAAGTAGCTACTGCTCTTACTCAACCCCAACAACCCAAATTAAACAAAAAAAAGTGACATCTTTGCAGGATTTTGAATTACTCTAGGTCACCAGGAGTTCCTTAACATGCACATGAACTTAAGAACACAAATGTTCTCTCGCTTCGAACCCATCATAATGTTGCAGCTGGAAACCAAACCTACATCTCGAGGTTTAGCGATGCGATTAGCAGTTTTAGAGAAGCTTGAGTCCACAATGCATCTGTACTAGGCAGCACAAATTCGTCTTGAAGCAATTGAGCAACACCTCGACACGCCTGCACTTATAAAAATTAAGTCGCTGTAATGCGGAGGTTGCTTCAGCTCCATTCTATTCCTTTCTGATCATCCTTCTCGGGACAGCCGATAACGCCGACAGTACCATACTCCCTCGGTCAAGCTGATAATAGCACGGAAAAGATAACTGGAGTGGAGCCGGCCATATCATCTTGCCATATTATTTCGGTCTCTGTACTTTCACTAAGCATCGATTTTGACAAACAGGCTGACTTACGAACGCCCATATTTCGTAGCATTCGTTTTAAACTAGCCAGGGTGCTCATCAAGACCGTCTTCGTGACGCGCTAACGCGATTCGAACGTTAGTGAAACAAAGATGAGGTGCGAATCGTGCAGAAGGTACGCTCCAGTGACACAAGCGCGAATGGCTGGCGTTTTCGTATTTCACGCGACCAAAGGGTAGTTTAGTTAGTTCGAGTAAGCGTGCAAGTGTCTGCTAAACGAAAGCGCCGTGCATTGTACGGTAGCCCGCGCACAAACAACGGGGCGAGTTACGTTAGCCAAACAGGGAATGCTCATAATCGGCCTCAGAAACGGGAAAAGCTAGCCACGCACAGCGCAGAAACTCCACTTAGAGAGCGGCGGGCGGCGACGTTTATATTTAGACTAGGCTCAACGCCCCGAAACAAGCGTCAGCCGCCGGCGCTTACCGGCTGCATCGCAATGCACGGTGAAACGGCAGTAGACGACGGTGACTTCGATGCGAAATCCTGCGCAACTCGACTCGGGGAACATCGCCATTACCGAAGCGAAACGGAAAGCACGCTTATCTGACAAGTGTGAACTTCGTTGCCAAAAATACCGGCGAGTTTGTACACGCTGCCGTAGGTAGTTGGCAAGAAAAAAATTAACACACCGACTTGAGAAGACGAAAAAAAAAAAAAAAGAGGCACTTGTGGGTTGTCGAAGGTGATCGAGTTTACCCCACGCGACGTTAGCTGTCGCACCTCGCCAGGTGTGGGAACAAACAGCTAAACCGAAATTATGTCCACTCGAAAATTCAAACCCAAGATCTGAATGAAAGTGCACTTCGCTAGCTGCACTCCGCCTATTTGTGTACGGATCGCTCGCAATAATTCTAAATATCATGAAACCAAAGTGAGACAAACAAACCGGCAAGTGCATAGACCGCTACAGCCAACTGAACCATTTCATTTCGAGATTTGACTCAATGATAGGCGGTAGTCGCGGCACTTCAAACCTGCGAGACTTTGACGGCAAATGAACCTACGACAATATACCCAACATCAAAAACAACAGGCCGGTAAGAAGGGAGGACGCCAAATGGTAAAATGACGAGTTTTCATTCAGGAGGCGGTGCGGCCCACCGATTTGATAGCAATGTCTAGGCCTACTTTATGAGGCGCCGCGAAGAGGAAAACGTGAAAACAGGTTCTCGCACAATGTGAAAGAGAAAGCGACTAATAAGAACGTAAGCACATTGCACACAATGTCACACCAAGCGCGTTGTCGTGGTGTTACGAACGAGTTAGACGTAGTTAGATAGCGGAAAATGACTCACTTTCACCAGCCGCCTAGTCGCTGCCATTTTCGAATGATCCAGAAGCCGGCGACTCCATGCGGCACTCGCAGGAAACACCCGTTTTGATATAATTGGTTGAGAAATACGCCCCTACTTATCGGAGCTATCTTTTGGGTAAACCGTTTAAAATAATTAATGACCAGATGTCTTATGAACTACTAACTTAACGCTAAAAACTAAAAATTTGGTAGAAGCTCAAAATAAATTAAACATTAAGCTGACCTTTGCACACGCAATGTACTTTACAACGTACGGGTGCGGCTTATATGAGAAACATTTGCACTTGGTCTTTACACAGAAAAACGGGTGTTCTCACTATGGCAAATTATTATTTTACAGTTCAAAAATCACCACACTTACTAAGAGAAGATGCTTAGTAAGTGAGAAACCATTAAAAATTAAGGGCCGTAGACTGGTGAAGTCTGCCTTGATTTGAAACGATACGGGAGGGGGGGGGGGGGGGGGCTCACATGTGATGCCGTATCTCATATATATATATACATATATATATACACACACACACACACACACACACACACACATATATATATATATATATATATATATATATATATATATATATATATATATTGTGGGCATTTGTTACTTGCATTGTCCTCATCCCTGCATGATCGCAATCACCATCATCCGCTTGTCTCTTTGTCCTCATTGCCACTCTGGTTCATCATCATCGTCATCGTCTGTGTACTGGCTCAGCCCGTTCGTTTTGCGAGGTCTTTCCTCAATTAAACGCTGTCGCAACCCAGACTACCAAGACTTCATACGTGGTGGAGGCGGATTTTCGGTCCTCTTACCTCCCGCAGCCCGCTCTACCCGCTGGAGCTTCGTTCAGGCCGCCGATTGCGCCCACTGTCAGGCAGCATGTCCCAGACCGAGCCTACCGGCGCTCATGTCATCAACCATGCACCGACGCAAGCTGCCCCTCCTATTTACATACACGGACATCAGCGGGAACCCCCGCTCTTCGCTGGTCATCGTGGAGAAGACGTAGAAGACTGGCTCGACAACTACGACCGCGTAAGTGTCGCTAATCGGTGGGACGAGGCCGCCAAACTGCGTTACGTCCCATTTTATCTGACCGGAGTCGCAAAGACATGGTATTTTAACCACGTCATTGACTTACCCGACTGGGCTACCTTCCAGCAGCAGCTGCGACACGTTTTTGGCACCCCGGACATTCGATCCGCCGTCGCGAAGAGGACACTTGATACTCGCCGACAACATCCCGGTGAATCGTACACATCATACATCGAGGATGTCCTCGCACTGTGCCGGCGTGTCAATCAATCCATGCCGGAATCGGACAAAGTGCGCCACGTATTGAAAGGCATTGGGCCTGTTGCCTTTAATGCACTCGCTGTGCAAAACCCGGCTACCATCGCTGATGTCGTGACGACATGCCAGCGCCTTGATGCGCTGGACTCCGTTCGCCTCCAACCAGACATTGGCGACCACCACTCCACGTCAGATGGCCACCTGCGCGACCTCATCCGGGACATTATACGCGAAGAATTGCGGTCCATGGGCTTCACACCTCCTACACCACGACCTACACAGCCTTCGGGAATGCCCTTACGTGACATCATCAGGGAGGAACTTACATCCCTGACTGGCTCTGCGCCCGTACAGCCACATGCTTTACGCCCCATACCCACGTACCCTGAAGTTGCTGCCGTGCCTCCCAGCGACGCCCACGCGACATTGCCGCGTCCATCCTACGCGTCAGTTGCTGCCGCTCCCCCGGTCAACTACCATTCCGTACCCCCTGACCCTCCGGCCCACCTGACCGCGCTATCTACAGGTGCCCCGAATGTCTTCTATTCCCCACCGTGGCGCTCGTCTCGCCCTGTTTGCTACTACTGTGGCTATCGCGGCCACATATCTCGTTTCTGCCGAAAGCGCCAGCAAGATGAGCGTCGGAACGACGTGCGTGAACGGGATTTGTACGCCGGGGCGTCTTATCAAGGTCGGCGTTATTCGTCTCCCCCGCACCGTTCTCCATCTCCTCCTGCATCGACTGCACCACGAAACAGCCGAAACACGAGACGCCGCTCGCCTTCGCCCTTCCGCCGTTCCACTTCTCCACTTCGGTCCGCCTCATTCACCTCTGAACTTCATTCGGAAAACTAAGTGATGCAGTTTGTGGAGGAAAAACTGCATTCGGAATCAGAACTGAAATTCCTACATCGGGCCCGTGTAACATGGTTTCTGTGGAAGTGGAAGGAGTGCGAGTCGATGCTTTGGTGGACACAGGTGCGACATTGTCTGTGATACGTGCTGATTTGTGTGAACATTTAAGGAAAGTAATGACGCCTTACGATGGCCCCACATTAGTTGCTGCCCAGGGGAACGTCATTCGCCCTTCCGCGTTTTCTACTGTGCGTGTTTTCATCGACGGCATCCGCCATCATGTCCAGTTTGCTGTCCTGTCCCGCTGCTCTCACCAACTAATTTTAGGGTGGGATTTTCTATCATCTGCTTCCGCGGCGATTTGTTGTGGACAACGCGTCGTTCACCTCGCTGACACGGACTACATGCTTGACGACGACAATCAGAAGCCACTTCGTCTGGTCGCTGCGAAAGACATCGAACTGCCGCCACTACAAGAGCAAATTGTCAGCATTACGTCCAACGACATCTATCACGGGGATGTATTGGTCTCACCGTCACCACTTTGCGTTCGCAAAGGTATAGTTCTTCCGTCCGGTGTCGTTCGTTTTTGCAATGGCTCGGCACTTGTCACCGCTGTCAACTCTACACCGGAGAAGATCTTACTGCCACAGGGCACTACTGTGGCCCATGTTGCTGACTTCGAGCCTGTATTTGTCACGCCACTTCAGGCCATCGCATCCAAAGAGCCTTGCCTCGGTGAGCATGTTTCTTCCTCCGCCTTTACCACCACTATCAGCAGCGAATTGACATATTCACAGAGGCAGCAGCTGCTCGCATTATTACAGAAACATGCAAATTCTTTCGACATTTGCTCGTCTAAGCTGGGCCGCACTAATACTACAGCACATCGAATTCAAACTGTTGGGACATCTATCGTACACCGCCGACCCTACCGCGTGTCTCTGACTGAAAGAAAAATTATAGAAGAAAACGTTGCGGACATGCTTAAACGGGAAGTCATCCGTCCTTCATCTAGCCCTTGGTCGTCTCCCATTGTTTTGGTCCGCAAAAAGGATGGCTCTGTGCGTTTTTGCGTGGACTACCGGGCGCTCAATAAGATCACACGCAAGGACGTGTACCCTATGCCACGCATTGACGACACCCTTGATTCCCTACAAGGCGCGGAATTCTTTTCAAGCATCGACTTGCGTTCTGGGTACTGGCAGATTCCCATGCATGAAGACGATAAGCATAAAACGGCGTTTGCAACCCCCGACGGGCTATATGAATTCAACGTGATGCCTTTCGGGCTCTGCAACGCACCCGCGACTTTTGAGCGCATGATAGATACCGTGCTGCGCGGTCTGAAATGGAAAAGTTGCCTGTGCTACCTGGACGACATTATAATCTTTTCGTCAACGTTTCCTGAGCACCTAGAACGACTGGATCAAGTTCTGACGTGCCTTGCCGGCGCCGGGCTTCAAATAAACACTAAGAAATGCTCTTTCGCTAGCAAATCTATCAAGGTCTTAGGACATGTCGTTAACAAAGATGGCATCCGGCCCGACCCTGACAAGATTTCTGCAGTCCTTCACTTTCCGCGTCCCGAAAAACCAAAGGAGCTTCGCAGTTTCCTTGGCCTCGCCTCCTATTTTCGCCGGTTTATCCAGAACTTCGCTTCTATTGCTGCTCCATTACACCAACTACTCGCTTCGAACGTCCCCTTTCTGTGGTCTCAAGAATGTGAAACGGCATTCGAGCTGTTGAAGCGGTCACTCACGTCTGAACCTCTGCTCTGCCACTTTGACGAAGCCGCACCGACTATCCTTCATACCGACGCTAGCGGCCTTGGTATAGGAGCCGTTCTTCTACAACGTGACAAGTCTTCCTTAGAGAAAGTTGTTGCATATGCCAGTCGCGTACTCACCCCTGCTGAAAAGAACTACACTATAACTGAGCAAGAGTGTCTGGCTGTGGTTTGGTCGGTCCAGAAGTTCCGTCCCTATCTCCACCGGCCGTCACTTCACAATCGTTACGGACCATCATGCCTTATGCTGGCTTTCTACACTGAAAAACTTGTCCGGACGCTTGGGTCGGTGGATACTACGCTTGCAGGAGTACGACTTTGACATAACTTACAAGTCAGGCAGAAAACATCGAGACGCCGATGCTTTATCTCGTTGCCCACTTCCAACTACCCATATCAGCGTTGGTGAGAACTCAAACGCCACATCTACCAAAGTTCATACGCTCGCATCAATAACGCAACCCTTTTCGGACGACCAGGCAACATTTATCTCGCACCAGCGGTCCGATTCATACTGCAGACGCATGATGGACCACCTTTCGGGAGTTCTCATCCACCAAACGCGCGACTTCCGTCGTCAACTCCTGCACTTTAAGCTGGACAATGGGGTTCTCTACCGCCACGTCTACCACCCTGACGGTCAGCGCTGGGTTCCTGTACTGCCACGCTCTCTTCGACTTCAGGTGCTCGAAGCCTTCCACGACGACTTGACTGCTGGTCATCTTGGTTTTAAAAAAAACTCTTGACCGCATTCGATGTCGTTATTACTGGCCTGGCCTTTCTTCTAGTGTAGCGCGGTACGTCGGTTCCTGCTCCCATGCCAGCGGTCGTAAACTCCCCACGTCTGCAACCTGCTGACCTCTACAGCCACTTCCGTGCCCGTCAATTGCCTTTCGAGGTTGTAGGTTTGACCTTTACGGGCCTCATCCCCCGTCACATCTGCTGGCAAACGATGGATAGTGACCAGCCGTGGACACCTGACACGCTAACGCTGAGACTTCCTCTGGTTATCACAGGCTCAGCTGTGGAAGTTGCAGACTTTATTCTTCACGCAATAATACTGCGTCATGGGGCTCCTCGTGTACTGCTTAATGATCGCGGCAAAGTGGT